TGTTAAATTAAATATGACGTAAGGAGTCTATACAAAAAGTAATAAATGGAATCATCGGATTGCAATATTTTATTTTTCCACATTTTTCTCCACCCGTTTCTGCAACGATGTGGAGACATTTTCATAACTGGTCAAATAGAAATCCCAGACGGTAACCCCCCACAACTTTTTGATTTTCTAATTTTTATTTGATTTTTGTAACGGCAAGATGGTACTACATTGTCGGAGAGGAATACCTCCCGAATGCCCCCACATCGACAAGAACGGGGCCACAGCTGATATAAACACGTCAATCGAGATAGGCGGTCGACGACACTATTAGTTCCGCAACAAAAAATCGCTGGTTTTGGTCTCCCAGTAAAGAAAGAAAACAAAGATACATTAATAAATATAAAACTTACTTCACTAATTGAACAATCTTTTTGAAGAGATCGAGATAGGCATTTCATTGCTCAGGAAGTGAAAATTTAAAGTCTACCATGTTTTCAGTCGTCTGCACATGCGCAGACGAAATCACAAAGGATTGTGGGTAAACACATTTCCGCAACCGGACCATTGATTGAGCATATATTCCGTGATTAATGAAGTGTAGCGTTATTTGTGATTTCACGTTCAAATACGTTCGTATTCTTGAACACTTTTCATCTTGAGTATTTAAATTATGTTTTACTATTGAATTTTAAAATAAATTATGCGAAAGTCCGACGTTTAATTAATTTATTTGCCAACTTGAGGTGACCAATGACATTCAAGTGTATTTAATTACTATAATAATAATAATAATTTTACTGCATCCTTAGAAAATTACAAAAATTTTCTATTGGTTTACAACAATAAATATATAAGTGATTATTAAAATAATAGCATAGTAAGATAAAGTAAAAAATAGAAAAAAAAAAGAGTTATAAGTTCGTCCCGAGCCTGAGTAACAACTGTAATTTTGATTTTTAGTTCCATTTTTCATATTTAATAGAAAATACAAATTGTAACGATAGTAGAGGGCGGTCATGCATATTAGGAAAAACGTATATCTGGTATATCTGTTATAATTTGAGATTCAACTATTATAATATGTTTGTATTCAAAACGTGTATTACTAATAAAAGGCATACTAAACAAAAACACGCCGCTTATTTCTTTTTCCACATTTTGATGTCCAAGTTCTTGAACATGCAAAATTAACTAGTGTTAACGTCATTCGAAAATGTTCTTATGTTATTCGATCAAACTTGCTAAATCTGAAGGACTGAGGGTTTGAACGGTGGCTTCATCTGAAGGACTATGATTTGAACGGTGGCTTCATCTGAAGGACTGAAGGTTTGAACGGTGGCTTCATCTGAAGGACTATGGTTTGAACGGTGGCTTCATCTGAAGGACTGAAGGTTTGAACGGTGGCTTCATCTGAAGGACTATGGTTTGAACGGTGGCTTCATCGTAAATACGCGCTTAGGCTTCGTAAAAAAATACGAAAATAAAAATTTGACTGATATAGTGAAATTGACTTTTGAGGTCACTTTGACCTGAGTGAAAAAGTCATATACTGGGGAAGGCGTACTAATGTTATTATTCAACTTATTGCATCCTAGCCTGTTATCGTTGCACCAGTTTCTGCCCTCCGCATGCAAAGTTGACATACCTACATACAGAAATTGTTATGGCAAGGTCGGCACTGGATTCCGTCGAAAATATTGCACCTTCCGGTGGATAGAGGTGGTCAGAACGAAATGTATTTGACTTCTAGAATTAATGCACTGCGCCTGTAGACTTTTAAACTTGCTTCGTTCTACATCAAATTTTTAAAATTTTGGGGGTCTTTGGAAAATACTCGTAACATGATCGAGCCAGTAGCCATTTTTGAAAAACCTATCTTTCGTAACGACTAAAGTATTCACCCATTAGTTCAAAAGCCATTTATGGTGTAACGAAGGTTGGACACCTAATCGACCATACCGGATGTTCTTGGAAACCAGTTCTGACATGTATGACAAATTAAATGCTCTTTCCCAAAAAAATTGGCCGCTTTAAAGCGGTGCACTATGCTATTCCTCAAAAATAAAAAGATGGCATAAACACCTATTAAAACGGTGACCAGGTGAACCAATCACCGCTAGATCATTGTAGTTTTTGAGATACGTGTATCTGATGATCTGAACATTTTCTTATATAAAATAGAGAAGGTGGCGTCATTCACATATATTATTCAAATACTGAAAAAATTACCGACACTCTGAAAGACAAGACACGGTATGGAAATGGTTAACCCTTTTTCGACCATGGGAAATCGAATGTTAAATCCTGTTACACAGCGCCATCCACTAAACTAGAAGCTGGCTAAACTAGAAGCTGGCTAAACTAGAAGCTGGCTGGCAAAGTGAATGTTAAATGTTCAGTGGCTGATAATCAACGGCGTATATATGCATCTGGTAACTTTCTATACATTTTTGGCATGCCAACTCTTGACCAATGTGTCCAATTTTACCTCTAATATAGTGCCTTTAAGCATTTTTATAAAGCCTTGTTTAACGCGAAGTAAGAAGTTGCTTCTTTTCAGTTGTGCATTTTCAGCAAATTCCAAACTACCACTGCCCACCATTCTCCAAGCCTCCGTTGGTGAAGTGCTTTAGGAATCTGATATCAGATTTCCCCGTCATGTAATTGCCGCCTTTACATTTTGTGACTGCTAAACAAAACCACTATCTCCAGAATCCATGCATACATGTGCTATAGAAATGTTGGTATTCTTTGCCCCATATTTTTGCGATCACCTGCAGCTGTTTGTCTTACAAATACCGAACCACAGATTCTGGCAAAAGTAAAAAGGTCCAAGAGTGGTGAGCCAAATGTTGCAAGTAAGCAAAATGGTGTTCACCAAATCAGATAAGGAATGTTTGTCCAGAATGGAGAGCAACATTTACTCTCGAAACAGATTAGAACCAGCTGCTTTTAACATTTTTATTTAAAAATCAATATATTTTTTAAATTTAGTATTAAATAACTATATTACTATATTGAAAAAGAAACAAGTTCTGCGTACATATGCACGTGAAAAAATCCCAGTCCATTTCAAATGGCCAAGCTAATCTGTTTCAAAAGAAAATTCAACTAACCGTTTAACAACAAATTGACGGAATTTTCCCTAAATTCTATAGGTATTACTAGAGAGAATATATTTTGTACAGATAGTAATAATGGCACACTGTCATGTGGCAGGATATAAACTGTTTCTGTATTTTATCAATCATGGCGCAGTAAGAAATATCCGACATTGGGGTATTTTAGACACTTTTAATAAACTTTATTGAGGTTCCAAAAACTACTGATCCGATCTTCGACATTTCAAAAATGTTGGTTTATCCCCTAAATGCTCAGCGGTGGTTAATAAAGAAGGCGTGAATAGATTGATATTTATTTGCTGTTAAGAGTAGATATAAACATTAAATTATCGACATAACAGTTAGAAAGAGACGGAGAAAAAAGAAGATAATTTATAAAAAGAAAAGAAAATAGTGTTTCTTTGTTGGAAATCCTTTTTTAAAACTCATAGTAAAACACTGGTAAATACTTTTAGTATTTGTCTATCTTTTAGTTTTAGTATGATGTTTATCAAATTTTCATAGTCAGAGTAATTGTCCTGGAGTATGTTGTGTTTGTTAAAGAGGTCATCTCTCTTTTTTTGTAGAAGAAAGTGTGTCTCATCTTCGATCTGACCACTGTTGCATAATAATAAGCATTTTCTTTCGATCAGATCAATATTTTTACATCTTCCTATTTCTATTTGCAGTGTATGTGTACTGATTCTTAGCTTGGTCATCGCCGACCTGTGTTATGGGTTAATAGTTTCCAGATAATTTTCAAAGGTGAAATCTTGTTTTCTTGTTCGTAGTTTATAAAAGTGGATTCCGCCTTTGTTGTCATCGTCACGTGTAATGTTTCCTTGTTATCTTGTTGATATAGCAGTTGCAATTTTCTTTAAATCTAGAGATTAGATTGCTATGATTATTCACTGCTTCTATTGCATACCTAACTCATGTTTAATAATTTAAGTAGACATTTAATACTTGATACCCAGTTGTAAGTGCCTGTTTCATCATTTTTTACGCATAGTCTATAACATTCATTAACCAGTGTATTTTCGACGGCTTATTAGCAATTTTAAGCCAATATTTAAACATTTGGGGCAGACTTGCTAAGAGCAGTGGGTAGCGACCCAGTTCCATTAGACAACCAATGTTTGTGGCTTTACAGCCAACTTTTAGAAGAATTTTTCTGCTGGTGTTGTGCAGTTTGATAGGTTTGACGATTGTTTGATGTTATCACATGACCAAACCTCAGAGCAATAAAGCAAAATTGGTTTGACCACTGCATCAAACATCTTTAGATATATTTTTACTGGAATATTTGTTTCAGAATATAAATGCTGTTTTAGACTGAATAGAGCTTTCATTGCTCTGTTTATTAAGTCAATTTAGGCTTTGTGAAGTTTTCATGTGGAATTAATTTTAATACCCAGATATGTATAAGAAGAAACTTTTTCAAGTTCTTTCTTATTTACATAAAATTTAACCTTGTTCAGACCTTTCCCTGATTTATTGAAAATGATTGTTTTTGATTTTGAGATGTTTATCTCTAGTTGCCATTTTTTGCAATAAATCTCAAGTGAGTTTAATGCATTTTGTAACGAATACTACCCGAACGTCACTTGAATAATGAACAAGTTTTTACAGAGCCATTATGTCACATAAGAATATTGTTGTTATTGCTAAACAAATAGATAATAACCGTCATGTTGAATACACTAATGTCTAAATATTATATTACTGTTTATTATTTTAAAAATATTAAATATTTTTCATTTCTTCTGAATATGAATGATCTCGAATATGTTGCTAGAATTATAACGACTACTTCGGTAACTCATGTCTATTTTCGTTATGCAAAGTAGGTCGAACATGATTGGTGGTTATTTTAAGACACATACGTTGTTTGTATATATATGAAGGAAGATGTCTACCGTCCGCAGATCAACAGCACATATTTCAGAAGCGTGGTGTTCCACACGTAATATTTTATACGAAGGTAAGTCAATGTTGGAAAGCTTTCTGACTTCTAACACGTCGCACTAAAACATGTGTGCGACCACCGGGTCGCTTGTACCCCCAGTCAATGTGTCTGCTGCCATGAATCCGCGGTGTTTTGGGTCCAAATATTAGGGTAGCCCCACATTACCCCAACCCCCTGGGACTAATGTGTGGGTATTAAATTGGTACAGTGGTCCTGGTGTTGGGCATTAAATTGGTACAGTGGTCCTGGTGTTGGGCAATAATTGACTGGTACAGAAAACTACATAAAATTTTGAAGAGCCGGTTGGACAATTGAACATTGGGAAATTGATTTAAAACAAACTAAAACTTTCTATTACGCAGATTAAATTATGAAAATGCTGCTGTTGCTGATACATGCCAGTGTATATTTAAAATTTAATAAAAAATGTACATTGTATTTTGACTTGAAAATCAAAAGGCACCAACTAACCGGATATGTTAAAGCGAGAGGGTTGCCGCCTGCGCACACGTGGGACGATGATAACAACACGCTAAAAACGCAAAGGAGTTATCAAGACATCAGAGATGAATTGGGTCGGTGTTTTCGTTTGGGAAGAAATAGGGGGGCATTTTACTATTATGTTCACATTATTTCATCATTATGTTCACATTTTTATATTATTTTATCATTATGTTCACATTATTTCATTATTATGTTCACATTATTTTTTATTAATATGGTTAGCATTATTTCATCATTATGTTAGCATTTTCATGTTATTTTATCCTTATTGTATCATTATGTTTTCGTTTTGTTAGCATTTTTACATTATTTCATCATTTTGTTCACATTTATATAATATTTTGTCATTAAGTTAGCATTATTTGACATGTTTATCTGTCTAATTATGATAATTTATGCATGGTGAACAAACTCCCTAGATCAGCGTAGGCGCGAGTACAGCATTTTATAATAATTTGTCATAACCATGGGTATACATTTTCTAACTACATAGGATTTTTTCACCATATGTCATTAAAGGTTGGTCAGTATTTTCTGTGCACAATTTTTAGTCCCCGTCCGAAAACGGGGACTTATGTTTTGCCCTGTGTGCGTCCGTGCGTCTGTGCGTGCGTGCGTCCGTGATCACCTGTATGATATCTCAAACATGCATGGACCGATTAAGTTCAAACTTCACTCATACATCACACATTATATGGGACATATGCACATGCATTTTTTTCATGATCCGATTAACGATAGCCGAATAGCGGCCATTTTAAGGCCGAAAATGCATCAAAATCACACATTTTCACCATTCCGGACCCGGATCTCAGTTATGCATGGACGGATTTCGTTCAAATTTGGTACATACAATAAACATAATAGGACCTTGATGCACGTCATTTCTTTTTTTTTGATCGAGTTTGAAATGGCCGACTGGCGGCCATTTTGTTTTAAAGAATTCAGTTCTGGATCCGTAACTGAGACATGCTTGGATTGATCGAGTTCAAACTTCACACACACACAAGGTACATCATGTCACAAGTATGTATGTGCATTTGTTTCATGATCTCATTAACGATAGCCAAATGGCGGCCGCTTTAAGGCCGAAAATGCATTGAAATCGCACATTTTCACCATTCCGGACCCGGATCTCAGTTATGCATGGACGGATTTTGTTCAAATTTGGTACATAAATTAAACATAATAGGACCTTGATGCACGTCATTTTTTTTCGGATCAAGTTCGAAATGGCCAACTGGCGGCCATTTTGTTTTAATAAATTCAGTTCTGGATCCGTATCCAAGACATGTCTGGATTGATCAAGTTCAAACTTCACACACACATGGTACATCATGTCACAAATAGATATGTGCATTTGTTTCATGATCTGCTTAACAATAGCTTAAGGCCGAAAATGCATCAAAATCACGTATTTTCACAATTCCGGAACCTGATCTCAGTCATGCATGGATGGATTTTGTTCAGATTTAGAACAATGTGTTGTACATATGCAGGTGCATTTCGGTCATGATCTGCTTTGAATGTATATGTCACTCAAATATGAACGGAACGGGGACGTGTCATTGACAATGACTTGTTAGATATAATATTGCATTGTTTCAGGACTTTTACCATGTAAAGAAGAGATGTTGTATTGTTTGTTATTTAATCTAGATTCTCAATGGATGAGGTTGTATTATTTGCTCGATGTGTAATCAACCTCTTTCACATCACAACTTTGAACTGCACTTTTCTGATGAACTAAATTTGCCACTATATAAGTTTGAAAAAGGCGCAATCTATAAATATCTGATACGTGTCCAGTCAATAACACAACACCCACAAAAACTTGACACTGTTTGGCAAGACATCCTTAGTCTGCTAAAGTGCTAAACTCAAATTCAAGGATTGCTATGTCACAAAATTACTTACGATCTTAAAGACAATATTGACATTGATCACCAGAGACGTTTGTTTTGTGTTCGTGCTAATCTCTTGTTGCGAAAATTTGTGAACTGTAGCACGGAGGTTAAGCAATTGGTTTTCAAAACTTATTGTTCTAGTTTTTATTGCTGTCAATTATGGTGTTGTTTTTGAAAGTCTACGCTTAATGCCATGAGGGTTTCCTACATTGTATAACAATGCTTTCAGGAAATTTTTTGGATATCCACATGATTGTAGTGTCAGTACAATGTGTGTTGTTAATAGAGTACAAACATTCCCTTGTCTTAATAGAAAGCTAGTATCTTTATTTACTGAATGCGTTTATACATCTACAAATGGCATTGTCTCTGTAATATATAGTAGTGACAAACGTTGGAACTCGCAGTTGGTGTGGTACTGGAATAATTTGATTTTTTGATTTTGTAGCAAAAACCTAATGTCTGTTTTTTTTATTATAAACAGTAACTCTATTTCATTTTCTCTTTTTGTTCTGTAATTTACTTTATATGGACTCTGTCTGAAATAAATAATAATAATAATAATAATTAACAAATATGGGGATCTGCAGTGGCGTATTGCCCATGGTGCCTTTCCAACGGGGAGATTTCTGTTCAAAGCTTGTTTGAACAATTCTGATAAATGTCCTTTTTGTGATGAAGTTGACACACTTCAACACATTTTTTATGATTGTCCATCGAATAGCGCCTTACTCCATTATTTTTATAACATCACGTCGCGACTGCTTCAACCAGATTTTCGCATTCCGATTTGGTGGTTCACTATTTTACCACCCCATTGTTCAAAGCCTTTTATGTCTAGCAAAGCACAAGGTATATTTTGTTTCTTAGCGTGCATAGCTAAGGTTGCAATTCATGTCAGCCGTCGTAATAAAAGGCAAAACAAAGGCTCGAGTGAGCCTCTGGAAATTGTTATTCAAAGCATTAAGTCGAGGCTTGAAACAGAATATGAATGTTTCCGGATCACGAACCAACTGCCTGAATTTGAAATTATGTGGACGGCAGAGGATGCACTATGTAAAATCCAGGATAACACACTTCGCATTCTACTGTAATTGTGGCAGGTACATTTGTATGATCTATTTAAAACAGGAAGTTGCCTTGTCTTGTTGTTAAAAATCGATACAAACAAACATCATTGTATTAGCAAACTTAGCACACGCACAGGAGCCAAGAGTTTTGGCCTCTTGGTGGGCTACCATTGCACACAATTGCAGCAGTGCATATATGTTTTATGTTACTTGTTCTGTGTTTTAAATGTTTTGATTTTCCCTTGGAATTTGGCAGGGGGGTTGGTACCCCCTTAAGTGCGAACCAGTGTCACCGGCCTGCCTACGGGGTTCCAAGGTGTTTTGTACTGTTACGTGATCGTCTGTTATTTTATTTTACCCGTGAACCAAAAAGCATTTACCCTATGTTTAATTCTTTTTACATATGATGTGTTATGATGTGCACATATTTTTTTGTATGATTTTTATTTCAAAATGGCTGACTTGCCATCTCCTGGACATACTTTTAATGTTTTTGTTCAAAATACAGGCACATTTGTTTTGTCTTATCTGTACTTACCATATTACTGGCTCATATCAGTTATTTCTAGTGATACACACTACAGTCAAATATCCACAGTCCACTTTAGTTCATTTAGTTATTCTATACACCTGGTATATGGTATCTTAGATATCATACATTAGTTTTCCAATGTTCAGGACTGTGATGTTTATGTTTGTTTGTATTTTCAGGATTAAAATGGCATATAATCTCAAAGTGACGGTAGTTGGTGATGGGGCAGTCGGTAAAAGCTGTTTACTCATATCTTACACTACAGGATCATTTCCAGCAGAGTATGTGCCAACAGTGTTTGATAATTACTGTGCCAATGTCACAGTAGATGGTAAACCATATAATATTGCATTCTTTGATACTGCAGGACAGGTAAGGAATACCAGATGTAAATGGCTATCAGATGCAATTTTATTAGTCCCTGTTCGGACGAAGTCCAAAAACAAGGACTTATAATTCAGTCTCTGTCCGTCCGTGCGTCTGTCTCCATCCGTCCGTGCGACTGTGCACCCGTGCGTCCGTCCGGAATCATATCTCAGAATCCCTTAGACCGATTCCGTTCATTCTTTGCATGTGCCTAGTACTTTATGTGGGACATATGCATATGCAGTGGTTTAGCGATTTGATTCAAAATGGTCGACTGGCAGCCATCTTGTTTTTTGAAAATGTTGTATTTTGTACATGCTTTGTTAGTTTTCATTCAAACTTGGTACATAGATTATACACGTTAGAATTCATGTCCATGACGATTTATTTCACAATTGAATCAAAGATGGCCGACTGGCAGCCATCTTGTTTTTTGAAAATGTTGCATTTTGGACATGCTTTGTCAGTTTTCATTCAAATTTAGTATAGTTAGTATACGTGTCCCCGACCGTCCGTGAGTTCCTGAGTCTGTCCGTCTGTTCGTCCGTCTGTTCGTCCGTCTGTCCGTTCGTGCGTCAGTCTGTCCAGAGTCATATTTCAGAATTCTGTGAACCGATTCCGTTCATTCTTTGCATGTGCCTAGTACCTTATGTGGGACATATGCACATGCAGTGGTTTAGCGATTTGATTCAAAATGGCCGACTGGCAGCCATCTTGTTTTTTGAAAATGTTGTATTTTGTACATGCTTTGTTAGTTTTCATTCAAACTTGGTACATAGATTATACATGTTAGAATTCATGTTCATGACGATTTATTTCGCAATTTGATCAAAAATGGTCGACTGGCAGGCATCTTTTTTTTTCTTTTATGCGGTATCTTGGACATGCTCTGTCAGTTTTCATTCAAATTTGGCACATACATGTACTTTGTACATGTTAGGATGCATGTCCATAACAATTTGTTTCAAAATCTGATCAAGATGGCCGAATAACGACTGTTTTTATTTTTGGCCATATTACTACTACATGTGTTTTGATGTAAATAAACAATCTGTTGTATACGCCACTTGGAACTCAAGTTTCAAGGACACGCTCGCGACAACCCCCCCGCTTGAATATGACAAGCACAAAGCGAACTTTCAAAAATTTTATGGGGACTGTGTCATTTTCAATGACTTGTTTACATTACGGTTTACTTTATTTTTACTGTATTTAATTTATTCTGAAACAAGGACTTATAGTCTTCGTGTGTGTGTGTGTGGTACCAACATTGTGACGACTTCAATTTAACTTTACACTGACTTGTGACGACAGGACCTACATTGTGATGACCTTCACTATTTTCATAATTTTCATAATATAGCTTTTCGAAAAATTCCCTAAACACTTTGGCAGAAACTTAAAATTATACCCTATATATATACTAGAATCATACTGTTTCCAAATTGAGGTAACATGAATTCATGAAATTTCTTTTTCACACTTTATTTAAACACAATACACGCATATACACGTCAAATAACTAAATAGTACCCATTTTACGCATTTTTTTTACTTCAGCTTGCACATCATATTTTATTCAAAGAACCCTCCAATGGAACCATACCTACCTTCTTTACTAAACCTAAGCTTTGCAAACATTTCTATGTTCAGTCCTGGAATATTCAACTTTTATTAGTCCCCATTCGGACGCAGTCGGAAAACAGGGACTTATGTTTTGACCTCCGTGCGTCAGTGCGTGTGTGCTTGCGTACGTGTGTATCTTAGAAATGCCTGGACCAATCGCAATCAAACTTCATACATACATCATACATGATATTATACATATGCACGTCAATTTGTTTCACGATCTGATTCAAGATGGCTGAATGGCGGCCATCTTTGTGCTAAAAATCATCAAAGTCAAACATTTTTCGGCTGTTTACAGATGGATTTTGTTCAAACTTGGTATATACATTAGACATTATGGAACCTTGATGCAAATAATCTTGTTTTTCAGATAAGATTCAAAATGGCCAACTGGCAGCCATTTTGTTTTAATGAATGTGGTTCTCGTGCCATATCTCTGACTTGCTTTCACTGATTATGTCCAAATTTTAAATATTTATTATACATCATGTCATAGACAGATATATTGGTTTTACAATCCTATTCAAAATATTTTTGTGCTAAATATCAAGCATTTCTGGCGGCCAGTTTGTTTTAATGATTTGGCTTCTAGAGCTACATCTCTTAAATTCTTTAACTGATTATATTCAAATTTTATATATTCGTTATACATCATGTTATATATATGCATGTATTCAAAATGGCTGAATGTTGTTCCAGAGCAATATCTCTCAATATGGACAAGTACTTGTTTGACAATCAGATATAAATGTCAATCATTTTAATGTTAAAAAATAATATTCCTGACATGGTTATATTCCAGCTATATTACTATAAACAAAACTATATATCTTAAATTTGATAACTAACGGGGACTGCCATGCATGGCTTGTTTATTTAAACATAATTAAAACGCATTTCTACGTTTAATTTAACTCAACCTTAAATAGGAAGGTATTTTAATCGAGTTCATATCGCAACTATATTAAAAGTTAATCCAATGTGTGTTGTTACAACGATGGTATGACATGAATGTGTGTGTCTGTGTGTGTACATACATACATATCTCAGACATACCTTGATCAATTTTCTTCAAAATTTATATGTATTTAAAACCTAGTCTGATACATATGCACATGTGATGATTTTGTGATTGGGTCAAAGATGGTTTGACATTTTTGAAACCGGGTCTTAGGCATGTGTTGGTCAATTTACTTTAAACTTAATAACCATTATAAGTAGTTGATGTATGTCACTTTGATTTGTAAACTCTACTCAAGATGACTATTTGGTCTCTCAAGATGACTGGCTCCATCTATTACGTCTCTCAGAATGGCTGACTTCATCTATTAGGTCTCTCACGATGGCTAACTCCATCTATTTGGTCTCTCAAGATGACTGGCTCCATCTATTAGGTCTCTCAAGGTGGCTAACTCCATCTATTAGGTCTCTCAGAATGACTGACTTCATCTATTAGGTCTCTCAAGATGGCTGACTCCATCTATTAGGTCTCTCAAGATGGCTGACTCCATCTATTAGGTCTCTCAGAATGGCTGACTCCATCTATTAGGTCTCTCAGAATGGCTGACTCCATCTATTAGGTCTCTCAAGATGGCTGACTCCATTTATTAGGTCTCTCAGAATGGCTGACTCCATCTATTAGGTCTCTCAGAATGGCTGACTTCATCTATTAGGTCTCTCAAGATGGCTGACTCCATCTATTAGGTCTCTCAGAATGGCTGACTTCATCTATTAGGTCTCTCAGAAT